GGTGGGCCTCCCCAAAGTCGCTCTTTTTTTTTTTTTTTTTTTTTTTTTTTCAAAAGAGGAGGAAAAATAAAGTGAGACACAAGTAACTGCTCTTTAACTGCGCGTATTTAGCAGTTAGCCAAGTGTGTCTGCTATATTTAATGCTTGCACATTTAGTATGAAATCTTCTTAAGGTAAATTATCTGTGGTTTTATTTAGATAGGCATTAGGTATTTATTTATACCTTTACTTCTAGCTTGACTCTTTATCCTGTCGCTGTCCTAAATGAGCTGCTTTGTCAGTGCTGTGTTGCAAATAAACTTACAATTTCACTAACTTGAACCAACGTGCAGAAGTTGCCCCGCCGTTGTAGCCTCTCTCAAGGTCTGCAGCGAGTGTTCACGCGCAGCCGTCGGGGAACCTATCGCCTACCGCTGCTCACCTCCGCCTCCCGTGTCGCCATGACATGGAGCTGCGTAACCAAAAAACACGTTGCCCAGCCTGTCACTCGCGAGCACGGAACAGTTTGCGTTGTGCTGACAAGTAACTGGTAACAAGGACTGGGCTGAAAAACATTGGTTTTAATCTGAAAACCTTGATCGGATCAGATCTGATTCAGATTTGTTGGCTGAAAGAACAGGTAAGAACGTTGAGTCAGAGTCAGTGTTGCGTTTTGAAAGCAGTAATTTTTAGGTGTGTAGTGATGCACTTCTAAAAACGGATACGTTTCGGTATGATCTATAGCCTTGTAAATAAGGTGCTTCAGAGTTGAAGCTTTGTCAGCCAATGCTCAGATCTCTGACCTTTTCCTTTTTAAAAGGCACAAAGTTTGATTTCTGTCTGAAAGGATTTGAAAGGAATTTCCAAATTGGCTTTTGTTTCGAATCGTGTAAAAGATTTAGCTGCAGATTCTAACCCAAAAGACACGAGTATTCCATAAATGTGCAAAACCAGACAGAAAATGAAATCAAAGAGAGAATTACCGTCGTGTGCTGTTGAAAAGTGATGAAATGCTCGGGTATGTCCTGGGATGGGAAGTTAATATTGCAGACAGAGGGTCATTTGCTGTTCCTTTTTCTGCACCTTCGGAGCAGGCAGGAGCGTTCATGTAGACAGATCCGTCAGAGCAGAGAGCGAGCGGTGCAGGAGCCGTACATCCCAGTCTGAGGGCTCCATCCGCTTTTAAACTGTTTTTTTAGCCAAAGACAGCTGCAAATTCCAGGTGGCGTTTTTAGTGCTTCTGCTTTTGTTTCCTCTAAAGGAGAGAAAGAAATAGAATTTTCAAAAATAATTAGCGATGTACTTCCTGCTTTTAACCTACGCAGAACCACTGTGCTAAAAAGAGAGCGTGTATTTTGTAAGACCATGCAACTTTTCCCGGTGGAGAGCAGCACTCCCACCTGCTGTCATTTTGCCTTCTGGTTGTGTGGTATGTATTATTTAGTATTATTTTGATATATAGCCTCATTTATTTAAAACAAACTTTTGATTAGTCTCAACTAGAGAGAAGTGGCGGTTTATTCGTTCAGAGAAGATAATTGCATTACTGAACAAAGTATTTAGATGTTACATGACTTTCAGAGCACTTCTCCAAGTTTTTATGTACAGTGCATTGCCGTTCCATACTTATGAGAAGCCTGAATATAGTCAATCAGAATTTAAGTAAAATATGCATTTTTCAGTTTCTTTTGGGTATACAAGCTAGAATTTTGAGTTGAGCTGCATCTTTTCTTTGATGGATTTGTATATAGCAAGAAAAATGGCACACAGTTGCTAGACCTCTTGTCTTCCATTTACTGATTTACTACTGAGTATCAATCCAGGTGACAATTTGGAGGATCATTTGTCTCTTCAGTTTGCCCATATAGGTGCATACACAATTCATAATATCACATTACATTTTTTCCCTCTGTATTTTCACCCTGATTTAATTTGGCTCTGCTTCCCCCACATTGATAACCACAGGAGATACTTTTGGAGATGGTCAAGGATTTCAGTGAAGATTTGTTTTAAATTTTGCTGATCATGTTCATGACAGAGTTCACAGCTATTGTAGTCCAGGCTATTCCAGTTTCAATTCTGCAAGTGGTGACAGAAAGAAAAAAAAAAAAAAAAAAAAAAGAGGCTTTATTCATTGTTGTCTTTTCAGGATGAGTCCTCCAGTCATGAATGTAACCAGCGCATGATTCTTCTTTATGGTGTTGGTAAAGAGCGTGATGAAGCAAGGCATCAGCTGAAGAAGATTACCAAAGATATCCTGAAAATTCTGAATAAGAAGAGTACGACTGAAACGGGTGGTAAATGCTTTAACACTGCTGCGTGGTAGTCTGTAGGGAAGATCATGGGGACGGAGGTGCTTGGCAAGTTGTTTGGAGCCATGCATGCATATAATGCAATTTGGCTTTCATCCCCTTCACAGTCAATCAGCAAAAACTCACTTTAGTCCTACAGCGGGAAATGCCTTCTGTTGTTCTGCCTTTCAGCTGCACCAATACAGGAAAGGGTTGCTTCAATTAGAAACCCCTATTTTCCATGTTAATAACTTGGCTGGAAACATTTGCATTTAGGCTAAAACATAGACTGTAAGATGTTGGCCTGGAAATGATGCATATTCCTTACTGTCCTAGTAACACTGTACGATTATTTTTCAAGTCTTGTTAAATGTTACTTTTTTTTCCCCCCCCTTCACTGGAATAACCTCAAAGTAGTTTTTATATTGTTACATGCTGTGGAAGATGTTTCCCAAGTATAGTTGAAAACAGAGGCAAATAGGGTTTTATGTAGTCATAAGGCATTAAGATTTTTATTAATTGTCTTTTAAAGCAGTAATAATGCAAAACTACTAGGGCTCCATGAAATATAAAATGACCAAAATAATTTTTTATCTGTTAAGTTGGGGATGAAGGGCAAAAAGCCAGGAAGAACAAACAAGAAGCATTTCCAACCCTAGAGACTGTGTTCACAAAACTACAGCAACTGTCATATTTTGATCAACATCAGGTGACATCTCAGGTATTTCCCTTGTATAAAATCGTAGCCTTTTAAGTTCTACTGTTGAGATATTAAGTAGGAAGGAAACCTAGGTTTTTAGAAATGTTTTGCGTATACCAGGAACTTTGAGTGCGCTGCTTCTTCAAAGGCAAAAGAAAAATGCTACCGTGGCATTTTAAAAGACCAGCTTTGGTAGACGTTTGGTGGTTTATTTTGGATTTTGTTATTTTGTTCCGTGGTGGGTGTGTGTGTGGTTTTTTGTTTTGTTTTGGTTTTTTTGCAAGATGCTTTCAGGGTTATGATAGATGTAATGAATTTTGTATTATTAAAAATTTGAAATCAGTTTTACATAAATTTCAGTTAACTGCATTCTTTAGGGCTCATCAGTACATTAGGCACTTACCTTACACATATGCGAGAGGTTGGCTGATATGTTACCAGTCTGTATTTATGCAGGATGGTGAACTCTTCTGTGTTTTCCTGCAACAAGCTGGGTATGTGTCTTTGAGAAACGGATGGGTAACGTGGTTTGTTCTTTTCTTGGTATTAGAATTTGTGGTCAACCTTTACCATTAAAAAGCTACTTTAGTGGCTGACTAGAGAACATAAATGATTTGTTTTAAATGACAAGTCTGACTTGTTCGCTTTACATCAAGACTTGAAAGCGTGCAAACGCATCAGCATAGAATTTCATCATTTTATCAGTTACTGTTTTTAAGTACATTTTAATAATCTGAGGCTAGTGTAAGGAAAAAAGTGAATGAGGTATACGCTTGATATGCTATGAAACAATTTCAGAATTGTCTTTGAATCTGGTCTTTTAAATGAGGTTTAGTACGTGTTCTGTTTGATGCAGGATAGCACGTTGGTAGTTATCAGAAAACATTCAATAAAAAAAATCACAATACAGGAAGACTAAAACAAAAATGATTTTGCCCTTCCTTTAAAGAAAAATTGCATTTTAAAAATACCCTGCAGAATAAAAATCGTATAGTAGATATTAAGAACAGTTTGACCCTCAGCTGTAAAGCAGCAGCTGGGAAGCAGCAGAACAGCTTTTCCTGTTTTGTTTTGTCACTATAGGAAATGAAACTGCGTTACAGCTGACTTGCAGGATAGCAGGGTAGTAGGTATAGTCTCTCCTTATGCATCGTTTGTTGTTATTTTATGTGCAAAATGCTCTCCCTTGATACTTACCACTTACAAAAAAGGATTTTTGGAACACTGCTCTATTTGAACAGCCCTCGGTTACCTAAGACGTTTAAACGTTTATTTTCACAGATCTCCAGTAATGTTCTCGAACAGATAACTAGTTTTGCGTCAGGAACATCGTATCATCTTCCCTTGGCTCACCATATACAGCTTATCTTTGATCTCATGGAACCAGCGCTGAATATCAATGGACTTATCGACTTTGCAATCCAGGTAGAGAGTTCCCCTTACGCGTAGGTGTGGCAGGGCAGAGCCGCAAGGCTGCGCCTCCCCAAAGCAGCCTCGCAGGCGGCGCGGCGGGTGGAGGCACGCGCAGCCAGGCGGAGAGGGTTTCCCAGCCCGCGGGGACCCGAGACGAGGCGGCATCAGGCAGCGTGAAGCAGGGGGGCCCCCCTTTCCTCTAAAACAGAGCGCCTGATACTCTCCCTTCTGTCCTGCTTGGGCACTTCAGACTAAACTGTAATTAACAAATGTACTTTTTAGTCAATGGAAGATGTATTTTGTTTTTAAATCTTTTGTAATTAATAAAAATCTGGATTATTCTAGCACACAGTATTTCAGGATGAGCTTCATTGTTTCAGACTAAAGCATTACCTTGCACAGTAAAGTACCTTGATGCAAGAAACGTAGTGTATTTTTGAAGAATAGTTCTGAGGGATGTGTTTTTATATTTTTTTCTTTTAACAGTTTGCTCCTTAGTTCATTCATTCTAGTGAGCAAGGAAACTTTGTTTTGGGTTTCCATATTTGTCTTCCTTGATTGTTTCTTTTTTGACATCGATTTTATATGTTTAATTTTGGAATTATTTTCAATGCATTATTTTTCTTATATTTTTAGCTGTTAAATGAACTGAGCGTTGTGGAAGCAGAACTGCTTCTGAAATCCTCCAGCCTGGCAGGAAGTTACACAACAGGCCTGTGCGTGTGCATTGTTGCTGTGCTGCGGCGTTACCATGCCTGCCTGATTCTGAACTTGGAGCAAGCTGCACAAGTCTTTGAAGGGTTTGTGAGAGCTTTATTTTTCAAAAAAGCATGCCTGGTACTTGCCAGTAAATAAAGCGTATGTGCACGTCCAGGTAGTGAGACCGAGTAACCTCTGCTGTTACCCTCTCGTCTCCGGGGCCTGTGCGAGCGCACAAGTGGCGTGGAACCTGTCAGTCTATTAGTGCAAAGTCTGTCATGACACATCCAGCTAACGGTGGGAAGTGTATGATATTTAGAAGTATGAGACGTATTTCTAAGCAGTGCTGGAATTAACTCAGAGCTGTTTTGTTTCCGCAGGTTATGCGGCGTGGTTAAGCACGTTGTTAACCCTTCAGAGTGTTCTTCCCCAGAAAGGTGCATCCTGGCTTACCTCTATGATCTGTATGTGTCCTGTAGTCACCTACGAAGCAAATTTGGAGACCTTTTCAGGTGGGTGGTAATGGCGCTTTGCTTACTGCTAGCATGTAGGCCACTACAGTTTGAAGCTTCACTTCAGTTTGCTTTCTTTGTAAAATACGCTGTTGCCTTTTGCTGCTTTACCTTTACCAGCAAACTCTTTTGCCCATGCAAACCGTGCCAGGGCTGTGGTCCCAGGTCCTGTGCAACCCTTGCATTCGTGCCTGTGCCTGCTGTGGGGCACCCACAGAGTGTTTGCCTGAGCTCGAGGGACCTCTGTACCGCGCCTCTGTTTTTTCAGCAGGCTGCTTCGCTGAGCCGTGCTCGCGTGCAGCAGCGGAGGGGCCCTCGCTGCCAGGCCGGCTGCGGCAGAGCGGTGCCCTCGGCCGCGGCACGGGGCTCGGCGCAGTGGGGCGAATCTGCTATAATAAATACAATGTTGTGCAAAAATAACAAAATCTTAGCTGACACAGCTGTAATATTCTATTAAATATTCCCTTTGATGTGGGGAGAGACACAAACATGTTTGAGTTTGCAAAGTTTTGTGTTCAAGTGTTCACTTCCTTGATTTTTCAATTAAAAAAATATTTTAGGTACCCATACACTGCATTTTTGGCCCTTGGGTTTCAGAGGGGGAGGGGAGCTCTTTCATATGCAGATCTGCTTCTTGTGAGTTACTGCTTTCTCCCCTTGCTCATACACCTGGTTTTAGTTTGCGTATTTCAGATTTGTGGTTTTCACTTCACAGTGAGCAGGAAAAGAGTTCTCAGAGTCTCTTAATATTTTAATGGGCTTATAAATGCATGGGAATAACAGTATTATTTAATACAAGAACTGCTAGGGAAAATGTATGAAATATATATTAAAAAAAAAAGTCATAACTGGATGTTCATTCTTCCACTTAAAACTAGTCTCAAATCTAAAGCTCAGTAATGCAAGAAAAAATAACAAAGCATTTATTTATATTACTGTAGAAGAACAATTGAAAGTGGCATCTAGTAACGTAGGGATATTTGAGGTATTAATTCAAATCAAATAACCTGTATGATACCCTGCACTTCATTTGAAGCCTGTTTTTTTCAGACCAATGAAGTTGGAAATCCTCTGAAAACTGATAATATCATATATTTTTAACCAGCTCTATATAAGGTAACAGTGCTACGCTTGTGTTCATAGCTTCCTTACCATAACTGAAACAAAAACAGTTGTCTGTAGCCAGCAATTTTTTCAGCTGCTTTCTAGCACACTGCAAGTCCAAATATTTCTCTAAGTCAGTTCAAAGGGACAATAAAATACCGTTCATAAAGGTTCAGAGTTTGAGGCTTACCTTCCTTATGCTGCAGTGCTCCGAAAAAGGCTTCGGCTATTGCTCACAGTATTTGTCGTGGCCTAGCTTTACTGAGCGAGCTGCGTGTTTGGTTTTCGTATGGTCAGTATGTTTAGTTGTGTTCACTAGACTTCCGTTTTAAGTCATTCCTTCACTTTTTTTTAACATCTTATCTTCTGACCACACCCTCAGCGTTACTTCTTGTGGGAAATGCAGTTTTGGAGCCTGTCCTGCTCATGCAGTCAGTGTTATATTGCTTGTCTTAGGGACTTTTTTCTTTAACCCGTGGAGCAGGGAGAGGTCAATGCCACGACAGCATCCTCACAGCTGCATCCGAATTTCCTTGCCCATAGCAGAGACCGTGTTGGAGACTTGTAACGTGACAAGTGTTTTATGCACTGTAGAGTCTCTCTTTTACCAAAAAATGTTCTGAAGCAGGAAGGGCCTTTCGCAGTCAAAGGGGTTTGGTGCTCTAGGCACTCCTGACAATATAATCCCCTGGCTGTGCACCTGCGCTGTCTGCACGTGGCGGGAGTCTTGGTTCTTTGGCGCTCTTTTCTGCGTGGCTCTTCATAGCTGATCCGTGGGAAGGAAGTGTGCACCCAGGATATGGAGGCATGAAAGGTCATTTAGACTGTGCCTGGCATTTGAGGTTTGGGGTATTTGTTTTCCATTGGATTGGTTTGCTTCCTCTGCTAATCAGGATCTAAGATGGATTTTACACTGATGGATACAGGAAGAGGTTAGTGCCAGGCGTTGCCCTTCTTGTAGATGAACAATTCTTCTAATGACCTCTTCCGCCTGCACCTAAACATCTTGGTTAGGAATGAGACCTGTGCGGGGACTTGGTTCTTCTCTCCAATAGCAAGGTTTCCAGGGGGATCCCTGCACTGAGCCCCAGCCTCTGGTCTTCAGTTGGCACGTCACACCCCTTCCCAAGGTGAAAGAGAAGTTTCAGGTGGCACCATGTTTCCTGTGTTGTCTTGTCCTATTTCCAGTATAGTTTTCAAAAAGTCCAAAGGTTTCGTTTATTTTAAATTTAAGTTGATAGGGGTGTTTTTTTGTGTGTGGGGGGGGTCTTTTCCCCCCTCTTTTTTTTTTTCCCCCCCTCAGGAAGGAGAAAGTCTTCCCAGGTAGGACAACTAAGAAAGTTTGTCCCTGTGAATGCTGTTCCCAGCTGTGATGGGAAACCTAAGACAAATGCTTGTTAGAGTATGTGTGTGTGAAATTTGTGTTCTTCACTAGCGGCTCCCTCCCCTCCCCACAAAGAAAGCCATTCAAAATACAAATATTGCTAGCCCGGAGCATTTCTTGATCTTTTGGATTGGTTGTTAACATGAAAATATGACCTTCATGTACCTTTTTTGTATTTACTGGATTCACCTTTCAGGAAGTTGTTGTGTCGATTTTAGATGGCATTCTGACATTTTTCTTATTTAACTCTTCTTACCACTGTTCCAGTTGACTGTACTTCATAAAACATAGCAAAGGGAAGTAGTTATAGACTGCTGTGGGTCACTGGAAAGGCATGCGATGCTCTTGGAAGGTATTGCTATAAAGGAACAGATATGTGGTCGTTTATCCAGCTGCTCAGGATTTCAGTAAATGTCTTAGAAGTGATTTGCAAACTTGGGACTTTATTTGGAAGAAAACTTGAATGAAGTTGGTGTGTCATCCTTACTTCCTGTTAGATGCTCCCTACCAAAAATGAGGTTGAAACTGCATACAGAACGGTAATCAAACTAGGATTTTCTAAACCCGTGTGGTATGTTCAACAGTATTTCTGCAAAATACAGTTTTTTGGTAACTCTCTCTCTTCATCCGCAGTAGTGCCTGTTCTAAAGTGAAGCAAACAATATACAGCAATGTTCAGCCTTCCAATTCCAATTTACTGTGGGACCCAGAGTTCATGCTGGATTTTATCGAGAATCCTTCTGCTCACAGCATTAACTACTCCATGCTAGGCAAGATCCTGAGCGATAATGCAGCCAATCGCTACAGCTTTGTCTGTAATGCACTAATGAATGTGTGTATGGGACACCAAGATGCAGGAAGGTAAGACAAAGCGTTCTAGGATCAGAATTGTATGGATTTCTACATGATGTATGTGAGGTTTCCTTTCACCTTTTGTTTTGTCTTTGTTTTCATTTGCAAATTTGCTCTTTCTGGTTGCTGCACGTTTTTTTTTTAGTAAGTTTCCCTTTACTTATGTTCATTAAATCAGTCTGCATAAGTTAATAAAAGAGAATAAGTAGAGAGTACTTACTGTAAAGACAGATAGCAAAATTGCTGATAGGAAAAGTTTGCTATTTCAAATAGAGCAGCTCAGTAACAGCTTTCTTGCAAAAGGTGCCTTCCCTTTGAGTGATTCTGATGCTGGGCTGTCCCCTCAGCACGAGCTTTGCCCGTTAGCATCCTGTAATCCAAGGAATGTTCTGCGTTAGGTCAGTTCCTTCTTCTGATGCCATTAGTGTTTCATTTATTAAATGTGTGATTTCATTTATTCATTATGGAGTTCATAGATGATATGCAGGTTTTTCAAAAAAGATTGTAATAAAAGTATCAAGTATGTTTTGGATAAAAGTTACTGGAGTTTTAAGAGCTGTCAGTTGTATTTTTAATGGACTTCATGCTATGCTTTTCGAGCAGACCTCTAATTATTAGAGTTTAGACTGAGATCTGCACTTCAGAGAGATTGTCCAACACAGTCTTACTGTGGTTGTCTTAGGTATTTTTGACAGCAGCAGGCGTTGGCTGCTGTTACAATGAGATGGAGCTTTGGTCTGATCTAGCGTGATACTTGGGTCGTGTTTCTGTGTTGGATGTTTTTAGATGAACTCAAGGTACTGAAAAGAAGTATAGTGAAAAACTGTGCAGTGAAATGATTGCCAGCAGTGTCTGATTCACACTGTCAGTACATTTTCTTAGTTCAGATTTTCTTCTCTCAGTTGTTTCCTCCTCTTAATGTGCTTCCAGTGAGTAAACACGCTGCCTTCTTACGCACCTGATGGCATTGGAGCGCTGAAGCTCTTTTACCTTAACTGTTCATCCCGCAAACTCTGTGAAGCGGGATGAAATGGACTCCAGTTTTGGGCCTAGACTTCACCCCTGCCCCCAGCATGTTTATTCCTCTTACACAATCGGTGTTGCCAAAATTTGGTGTTCTGACCTGATTTTTATTAAGAAATACTTAATCTTGTCAGCTCTGGATTCGGTGGTAGCTGACAGTCTTTAAGCTTACTAAAAAGTTACCGACAAATCACAAAGCCGGGGAAATCGTGGATTTTTTGTGTGTGTTTTCTAATGGACTCCTCCCCTAAGTGTGTGCTGGTGCTGGTGGATTTTAACCTTCCATCAGCGTGAAGCAGTCTAGGAAGCTTGAGGGATCACTGGCAGAGCGGAGCCGCCGAAAGGAAATGATGCTTTAGACCAACAGAGAGGAACAAGCCAAAGTGACCAAACAAGTTTCCCTGTGATACGGAGAAAAAGTAACTTGCACTAGGATGAGTCAGCCATGCTCCAATTTTTTTAAACGTTGTATAACTCTGAATCATTCGATGAATCACACATTAATCTATCAAGTAAAATGCATCACTACCGATTGATTTTTTTGTGTCTCTCTCCTTCCTCCTAGAACAGTAGCACCATGTTATAGCAATACAAGCCTGTTTTGTAGTAGCAACGGGAGGGAGCGTTCTTTACAGTGAAAAACTAGCAGGCTTTCACTGCCGGGTTAGGCATTTGGGAGCTATGCACTAGACAGACAACTTTCTTGGGATGTTTTTGAATGAAGGAGGACGGAGCTACTCTTCATGTAGCAGCACTGTGGAAAGGTCCGAGCGTGCCCTGGCAGAGAAGGGGAGAGCGTCTGTCGCAGGGGGCTGCTGCAGGCAAGAGAGTCCCATCTCTTTATTCCTCTCCCATGGCAGCTCAACAGACATAAGGAAGCTGGTACGGAGACAGGTCACGCTAAGTAGGACTTAGGCCACCGAACAAAGGCCTTATGCTGATGTAGATTATACTCATGCCAGTTATGGGGTGCATGTCACATACTGCTTTTTTGAGATGCTGTGGTTGTCCACAACTGAGGAACAGTAGATTATACGTACACAAAGTATAATCGCATTTGGACATAACCCAACCTTATGCGAGGAGCCATCCGTTCTGTGTGTCAAGTGCTGATCTGCTTTGACTTAAATATTTATTGTTTATAAATACCTTACTTTAAGTTTTTCTCTTCTCTCCTAGAATTAACGACATAGCAAACCTTTGTGCAGAGCTGACGGCGTGCTGCACGGTGCTGAGCTCAGAGTGGTTAGGGGTTGTAAAAGCTCTTTGCTGCTCTTCAAATCATGTCTGGGGTTTCAATGATCTGCTCTGTAGCGTGGATGTAAGTTCAGTATCTTCTAAAGTACCTACTAAGTCTCTTTTCCTCGGGTGCGCTTAGAGGTACAGTAAGCTATCCATCCAATACATAATACTGAGCAAGAATTTAGACCTGTATCTGTTTGAGCTTTCAAGGCTTTCATGAGATCCCTGGTTGATTTTGTTCTCTCCTACATCTTTGATGTGAATGTAAAATTTAGGCAATGCTTAGAGATTTCTCTTTGTCAACGATGTTTTTTTTTCTTACTGCGTTATGGAATAACATGGAATACTAGAGATGCTCTTTGAAAGGAGCAGGCATTTGGGTATATTTACACAATCATCACCATTCTAGAGTAGTAACTGTCTCTGTTTTAAAGAGCCTGTTTTGGTGTTGGCTCTTAAATTGTAGTGGCGATGGTACACTTCACTGTCCTTACTCGTCTGCTGTAGATTACCATAGTACTGCTGAAGTCAGCAGAATTGCAGTGACTTCTTTCTTCAGTGTCTGATCCAATATATTTAACTAGAGTTTGAACACACATACCTTTAGAAATGGGTCAAAGCTATGTATATTGAGGACATATTCTTGTTATGTCCTGAAGCCAAGGAATGAGCATTGATGTTACCAGTTTTTATAAAATGATAACATGTTGTCAGTTTTCTGTAAGACTGGTATTTATTGTGGCATTAATTTGTGGTATTTGAAATAGGTACGTGTTAAAATTAAGGTAAGAGCTATCGGCATGGTTGTTTCCTTAATAATCTAAGCAATGGAGGTGTGTGCTATCATGTGAAGCATTCAGCTGATGTTTTTCTTTCAAGGTGAGTGACCTGTCATTCCATGATTCCCTGGCCACTTTCATTGCTATACTGATTGCCCGGCAGTGCTTTTCTCTGGAAGATGTAGTTCAGCATGTTGCGCTGCCTTCTCTTCTTGCAGCTGGTAAGAAAATACTCAGAGGAAAACTTAAAATAAAAAACTTAACACTTTTTAGGAAGCTTCCATTGGTTAAGTAGGGTATTCTGGAACGGCTGTTCTGCACGGAGTGCCACTTGCTGTACAGTGCAGCATATGTTCCACTGCAGTTCGCAAAAGGAGCAATACCAAGTTAGATCAGAGAAGCCATGCTTGATAAATGGTATCAGAGTTGCTGACAGTGCGTTTTCCCCTTCCTGTTATGCAGCTTCACCCTCTTCTCGTGACTCTTTTCTGCTCTACGCTGCATGCTCGAATTACTACCAAATCTGCTCAGCTTGTGCTTTGGAACATCTCCTTTCCTTTCAGCTCCTGCAGCCTACAGTGTTCATCTGTATCTCGCTTCCTTCTTGCATCCATCTGCCTGATGTTGGCATTTCCTCTCTGACCTCATCGTCTTTGCCTCTAGCCTGGGACACAGCAGCTGTGGTCCTCTTTGCCCACATCATGCCTTTCTTTTCACCTTCTGCCTAGATTTGTGTTTCTTATTTCTGCTTTGACGGTCAAAAGCCAGTTTATCCATGCATTCGTTTTTGTTATTAATTGAGCCTCTTACTTGGCAAAAATCATACTGTTTTTTCCTGTTTTGTAATGACTCAGTAGGTAAATGCTGACTGCTGTTGATGAAATTACTCTGTTTGCATTTAAAATGGGACTGGGAGGGAGAAGCTTTTTCTGGGTCTCCCAGCAGGTTCAGTATGATTGGTAAGGCCCAGGGCAGATGCCTTATGTCCGTGTCTCATCTTCTGTAGCCTGTGGAGATCCGGATGCTGAACCTGGGGCAAGGATGACCTGTCGGCTCCTCCTTCACCTCTTTAGGACACCCCAAGTCTGCCTCTTTCCCCAGGGATCAGGTAAGTTGGCTGCTGCACAGTCCTTTCATTTCGGAAAGTGAACCTGAATGTTTTTCGATGGCTTCAGATTTCACATGTGAAAATCTCCAGAGTGCAATTAAATATGACAGCCTGTTTAAGATTACAGATCTTTTAAGAAAACTAGAAGAAATGTTCTCATAGTTTTCATGTTGTTTAGGAATTTTATTGAAGCAGTCATTTGAGTCTGGGACCTAGTAATATCATTTCTGTGCCAGTGCTACTGTTGGCAATGGTAGTGCCTTGAGGTCCACGTCATCTGTCATGCTAAGTACTGTCAGGGGAGGTGATAATTCCTGTGATGGGTCATCTCACGGTGACTTAGAAACTACTAAACACGTCCTGCAGTTTGGTAGCCTTGCCTGTAGATTGAAATGAAGTGTGGTTCTGAATAAGGCACAATAAAACATCTAGTCTAACAAAAGAAACGTGAGGAAATTAATTGTCAAAATATATTAATGTAGTCCTCTTTCCTTTTTAATTTGAATATTCTGTGGTCTGACCTGTGAGTTTTGCCAGAGACCAAAAGAGGAAGGAAAACTGCAAGAATCAGCACCTGCCAATTAAAAGGAAATAACCCTGGAAATAACTTGTGCTTTAACTTCTAAGTATTTCAGCAAATTTGGTGGCAAGACTGTTTCTATGGGAAAAAGAAATTAAAAGCAATTGTTACTTTGAAATTTGAAATATAAGTTGTTTCTGTGCAACAACTGTGCAACAGGCTTTTATATAAATTTCTTTTGCCTCATTTTTTATGCAGACTGAGGGAAGTCATTTCCCAGACCTGTGAAGTCAAAACAGACTTTGATATCCCATTGTGGGTAAAGTCACTGCTTACAAAGACACAGTGAAATGACAGGCTCCTTTTTTGATTTAAATAATTACAGCTTTTTTTAATATTAATACATCATAACCATCTGTTCCCAGTTGATTTTGTTTTAATGATTTACCAATTGGACTTCAGTTTCAGTGCGGACATTCACTTCTTCATTCAATTACTGCAGTTCTATAGCTATTTTAGATTAAAAGGATTTTGCACAAATTGTATATGGTAAAGACTAACCTTTTTCTACAAAGAACTTCTCCCCTTTCCATAGGGAAATCATTTCCTGGAATTCGTTCTTCTTGTGATCGTCACCTTTTGGCCGCTGCTCATAACAGCATTGAAGTGGGAGCTGTGTTTGCAGTCTTAAAAGCAATTTTGATGCTTGGTGAGATTATGCAGAGAGCTATGGGTAATGTGTAAAGTTTTTTCCTCTAGTGCTGGGGTAGAACACAGTGCTAGTTCACTTCCCTGGGAATGCTTCTGAGAAAGGAAAACCCAAGTGACAGGAGAAAATTGTGGATGCTTCCCGTGCTTCTGTAGCACAAATGAGTAGCATTTTCCCCCACAGGTCGAGAAACAGGAGTTTTTTCTCGTGAGTCAGCCGCTGCTGATGTAGCTTTAAGCAGACATGACTTTTTCAGTTTGACGTTTTTTCCCCAGAGTCTCAGTGCATTTCAAACTCAGGTGAGTCCCTTTCACATATATAAAGGAAATAAGGTCTCAAATCATTTGCTCCACCTATTTCTGTGTTTTACTACAGAACATGACTGCCTAGGGTTAGGGAGGCTATGAAAGGAGCACTGCTAAGCAACTCTCCAAGTACAAGGAGTTTGTTATTTTTCCATTTGGGTTGAACAAATAACTATCTCAGATCTTTTTCTGACTTAAGTTCTGTTGAAGCTGTTGTGAACTATGGGTGATGTGTATTTTTGGACTTAAGTAATTGCCCAGTTAAACAAGCAAAATCCTCTAGGTGTGTGTGGGCATACTTAACGGAGGTATACATCCAGTTAGAGTGTTGTCATTGTATCCTCTGGCAGAGGTCTCAAAACCTCTGTGGTCCTAAGTGATGTAACGACATTGGAAAAGAAGCGAAGGACGTAGCTAGCTGGGGTTGGCTGTGGATTTGAGAGTGAGCTTAAAACGCGTTTATGGCCATTAGCTAGGTTCTCTTGCTATTCAGAGTACCGGTATTGCTGCTTACCTTCATTAATGGTGTGTAATGTGAGCATTTTCTGTTCCACCCTGGTGCAGTTATGTTGTTTGCATGAGGGCTTGTGCAGGGCAAAGGATACCAAGGAAGATCTGAACATACCCTTTATTTGTGCCCTCACTGCAGCGCACCACCTCCTGCGCCTAAAATGTTATATTTGGAAGATGTCTCTTGTTGCCATCCTGCATTAGTTATTTAAAATTTGTACTTCATTTGTTGAGGAAAAGCATCAGATATGTGATAGCTATTGCAAATCTACCCGGAAGAAGCTTCACGAGTAGAAATCTGTTTTAGAAACAATAATCTCTGCCCACAGTGAAAGATGTTGCTGCACAGTGAACATCATGTTCTAGGGAGTATTAACTCTCTTTGTAAACTTCATCAAAATATTCTGGGATGACTTTAGCTTAATGCATGGCTTAATATCAACCTCTACATCCTGTTGTTTGCCTGCCAGATCCTCCTGTTTGTCCTTCATGGGTGCAGATTTTGGGTCGCATATTCGCTTACTGGGTGATGTGTTCGAATGCAGGGAGAATATGGATGAGCTGTTTGCTGTGCCATCTGCTCATGGGCATCTAGTACACAAGTCTGTTGATTTGTTTCCTGGGATTTTTTGAATGAAGCTGTGCCAGGCTTTATGTTTCTCTTTGGATTTGTTGGCTCAGTGATATAGAGAGGGTTTTAAGTTTGCTTGGATTTTGGGGAATATAGGGATTATAATTGCTTTCACTTACTGTGATGTGTTCCCCTTTTTTTTTTTTTTTTTTTTTTGCTATTGGCCTAATTGAAAATATCTTTCACAATATTGATTCTGTCTAATTAAATGCAAGAATGAATCATTACTTCCTATATTCATGGTGCTTTTATATTCTGTGAGTTGTTAGAATCATGTGAGATGTGGGCTGTCTGCCCTGTGCCAGTGTCCTGGGCTTTTCAGGGCGTCTCACGAGTGACAGCGCTTTTTCTCTGTCCCTCTCTCCCCTTTTTCTGTAAAGAATTAATTCCTGGTGCTGCAGTGGGTTGCCCCAGTGAGGCTGGGCTGGGGGTGTATTTGCACAGTGCAGATTCAGGTGAGCTTGGGGGCCTGGCTGAAGGGTCAGGGCATTGCCCAGCTCAGTGGGCAAAATGTACGCTGTCAGGTCACGGCCCTGTCCATCACCAGGAGGCAGTGCCCAGTTAGAGATTAGTCTGTCTCAATAGATCAGGTATCTAGTTTTGATAAGTTGTTAAATACAAGTTAGATCTTGTTACAAAAGGACCCAGTGACGTTTATTTAGGAGTAACTCTAAGGTAACATAAGCTGGGGTGAGGGTGGATGGGAATTTGGCTGGTGAAACTGATTTTTCTTAGCAATTTTTTAAAATAAAACTTCATTTTTTTCCCCCAGGGTAATACACTGCCAGGGAACACAGAAATAATAATGACAGGAGAACTGAATGCGTGGGAGGACCCAGTAGACCCTGGTGCTCTGGACACCCTATGTATGCAAAAGGGTAGTAAGCCATAGATGTGGCCACAGCTGCTAAAAGGCGTATTTACATCATCGCTCTCCTTGTTGCAGTAGTTTGAAACGTTTTGCTGGTAGTCACAGATTTTAGCAAGATACCCTAGCATATGTGTAACCAGAGGCAACAGCATGAGCGTATGTCGTGTTTAAATGAGCATATGATATTTCATGTGGCTGTAGCAAAGTCTTTAGCCTTGTCATGCCACGTTAGCTGTTGATGTTGATAGTAAACTGCGATTTCGTAGGGGTTGACTGTCATATGTGGCGAGTCGGCTAAGATCCATAAGAGCTACTGCTGACTTTAAAACATTAGGCTATGCTTCATGCCGTGTGCTCCCGCACACTCCAGGACAGCCTCACGCACTCTAAGGTATTATGTTCAGCAGTTTGGGCTTGTTTCCCTCTGAGAAGTGTGGTAGTTGCATCTTGTTCCTTTTCCAAGGTGTCAAACTCTTAGACGTGTTTAGCATCAGTTTTAGCATAAGCTGTTACATGTCTGATTTTTTTTACATCTTGTCCCCAGTATTTTTTTTTCCTTCTCCATTCCCCCAGGTTGGTTTCAGCTAGGTAAAGTTTGCGGAGTCATGCTGATGACTTGCAGAAAGGACGAGTTATTCAGTGTTTGCCTTGTCTGCCGGGACCCCCTCAGCGTGCACTGCCCTTTTCCATTCCCAGGAAAATAAATTTTTCTTATCAAGAAGTTCACAGTAAGGTGGACTATTAGGAACACCAGACAAAACTTGTCTCTTGATCTATGGAGTGTTAATAAATCAGAGTGAGATGACCTGGAAAAAGGACACCTAAGGAAGAGTTGGGTTACTCAGCCTTCTTATCTACCAAAGCAATTTCATGCACTCACAAACTCTTTCCTGTAGAGTACGAAGTGGCTTTATTTGTGTTTGATTTGTATAAAACTTTTTCTACTTCTGAAACATCCCTTGAGAAGATACTATGCAAAATGTTATTCACTTGCTTCGTGTTGGACATAGTGATTTTCAGAGAGCCAGTTAGTGCTGTTGTCTTGAAAGTGACTGCTTTACACCCCAGCTAGTCTGTAGAAGACTTGAGTAAGCTATGTAGGGGCATGAGGACCTGAATGAAAGTTCACTTTGTACTTTTGTGATTCTGTTATACAGGGGATGCTGAAATTGGCAGCAGCAGTGTTAACTCCTTGAAGAGTGAGGACTTCACTATGAGAGGCTTGTTAGATGAACTTAATGAGGATGAACTTTGGGGTTCCTCGCACACATTGAAATCATGTGGAAAAGCTGTTTCCATAGAAACCGCTAGTTTAAGCGAGTATGCTAGATATGTGCTAAGAACGATTTGCCAGCAGGTAATTTGTAAGACTATGCTTCTGCCTTCATTTGGAGAAACAATGTTATGTTATTTGAAAAATATAACCTCTGTTTTGGTGCAAAATTAATGTTGAGGCATTCCAATGTTTGAGTTCTCTTTGAATTTCCTGGTTTGAATCAGAGACAATTTATACACTGAGTAGTATGCTATTGGGAAAAAAAAAAATTGCTTATGTTGGTTGTTAGCATCTCCTTGGACTCTATCAGTGTGGGGTATTTTTCCTACCTGACTCTCAAGCACTTTGGGAAGATGCTAGGACAATTGCCTTGACTGGCTGCCCAACGTGCTTTTGCAGCAGCATTTGTTTTATTTCAAAGCTACTTTTAAAGTTTAGAAGAAATGGATTTTGGAAACTGTTAACAGTCTTATGCTTTCAGGAGATATTGAATGACCAAAGACATTTCTAGTTTCACAAGTTGCATGAACTATATTGCACTTTTTAAGGTGTGAATATTGAAAACCACTTTTCTGTTCAGCTTGCATTAATGGAGGGTTAATGTTGCATTTAAACTATCTTGTGAATCTGTCGTCTGATTTCTTACAGGAATGGGTTGGAGAGCATTGCTTAAAAGAACCTGAGAGACTGTGCACAGACAAAGATCTTATTTTGGATCCTGTTCTTTCAAACAAGCAAGCACAGAAACTACTTCAACTTATCTGTTATCCTCATGGTATTAAAGAATGCAACGAGGGTGACAACCCTCAGAGGCAGCACATCAAACGCATACTTCAGGTAGTGCAGTGGAGGGGGAAGGGGGAAAAAACGTACTGAAATTGTACTGTACTGATGTACTGAATCCTAAACCACCATTCAGTAGCACCACCAAGTGACATTGATTTGCAGTTCCTTGTGCAATCAAACATGAGGCACTTCTGTAAAGACTCTGTGCACAGGATCCCCCGTCTTTGCGCCAAACATCTTATAGCGTGACTTTCTGCTGTCTCATTATTTCTGATTTCACCGTTATAGAGGAGACAAGTGTGCAGCACGCTCATCGTTGATGGTCTATCATTGCTAGTCTCTAGGAAGCCACTGAAAAGGCACCTGATTTGAGGTCTATTTAAGTGGAATTGTCTCAGCAGGGCTCAAACAGTAGTGGGGTGAAAGACACTCCTGCAAACAGCTCCACTGAAAAGGCTCAAGTGCTTTCATGGACAGTCCTAAACTGATCATGTCTTCAAATTCAGCTGCTCTAGGGCCGCTTCCTTTCTCACGCTATTTGGATGATGAATATTGGGATGGCAATCCATGGACAAAAGTAATTGCTAATGAAAGACTGAATTGGATTTTAAGTGTTCTTATTTGACCAACTCAGATTTTGCAGAGAGCTGTCTTTTTATTCAAAATAGTTGCACTGTTAAAGGAATGGAGTAACTGATACTAGTTGCAGAGATGTGACGGCTCACTTGTGTTCTTGAGTAGCTCTGAGATTTTGGGATGTCATTAGCTTATTAAAAAGAGGAGTGATTGTGGTGATTTGCTTGTAAGATGAGGGTTTTGCATGTAATATATGCAGTTAAGAGATGTTTTTCCTCAGACCTGTAACACCTTGACACATGTATTTGCAACATTAATTCTTATCCAGAACTTGGATCAGTGGACTCTCCGGCAGTCTTGGTTGGAGCTGCAGCTAATGATCAAGCAGTGCATGAAAGAGCCTGTGAGTATTGGTTTTCAAACGTGCATCTGAATGTTTAATGCAATAAAGTATGTTAAATTTTAACCTAGTCCATGAGCAAGCATACCATGAATGTGCTAGTTTACTTATGTTTTACTGTAGGGTTCTGGGTCTGTGGCTGAAATGAACAGCTTGTTGGATAATATTGCAAAGGCGACAATAGAGGTGTTTCAGCAATCCGCTGATCTAAACAATAACTCTTCTAACTCTGGTATAGGCCTCTTCAATCCAAACTCTGTTGGAAATGCTGACACAAGTAATACAAGACAGAATGGTAAAAAGACATTCCTAAGGTATTTTCTGTAGCACCTTTTTAATTATTTTAGCCAACATGATGCTTAATTATGCATAGATTGCCTAGACTTTTTACACTTGAAACAGGCTTGTACAGAAATGAGTTACCTGAAGGTTACTTCTATTTACTTTGTTTAACAATAAATGTAGTTGCTATTCTTGAGCTCCTGGAAAGGAGCAATTATGATTGCTTAGTCCAGATGTGTTGTCAACTGCATTATTAAAGCAATTCAGCCTTGTAATAGCTAATAGTGGTTGCAAAATTAGATGGACGTTCTGAGTGAAATAAGTTTGTTCTACTTGTAGTTCCTCTGAACGCCGAGGAGTGTGGCTAGTGGCTCCCTTGATTGCAAAACTGCCTACCTCAGTTCAAGGTAGGGTCTTGAAAGCTGCAGGAGAGGAGCTGGAGAAAGGCCAGCATTTGGGGTCATCTTCTAAGAAGGAAAGAGACAGACAGAAACAAAAAAGGTATGACCTGGGCAGATTTCTGTACATAGAGCTGAAAGGTGTTTTTTTTTTTTTTTTGGGGGGGGGGGGAGTATACTGGAGGCTCTGCTTTTGCTTCACAAGACCTTACAAGACCCCTTTTTTGGAGCAGCAAATTATCAATCCCAAATGTGCTTTGACTTCAGATTTCGTTTAGTTTAAAGAAATTTAATTGGTTTCAGAGGAAGAGATGTGAAAGCTTTGTAACTGATTTTCCAGTGGCTATTCTGCAGTGCGCTGACTGGAAATCGTAAGGTTTTAAAAGGGCAGTCAGAGGTCTTGTTGTCTCTTCCCTTCTCCAGGGATAGGCCGCTTTTCTTGCTGTTAAGATGTCATGCTTGATTCTTGTTGGGAGTTACGGAGCTTGAAACTCACCTGTAACTTCCTAAACCAGTGAGGCTTTAATAACTTAATGGTTGTTGATTTTTGCTTTAGTAAAATATTCTTCTTCCACAATGCCTATTATTTCTTTGTACTTTCTTATAGTTATGGTAGACATTACATCAAATATTATATATAACAAGGTCTCTTAGTTTCAAATACTGACCATCTTTTTTCTTGTGAGCCCTTCCAAATTTTTATTTGTTGAGGAAAACGCATCACTTCTTAAAGGCTCGTGGTATTTGATTGTTGTACATGTGTTACTATCTCAGTTCCTTTTCTTATTGCCTTACTGCTGTGCGTTGCCTTTTTGATCTCCCTCAGTGGTGTTCGTGCAGTATACTTTCCCTGAGTAGGGGACCAGTAATTGCTCTTTCCCAGTTTATAGTTTTCTTGTAAACCTGTGCTGCATGGATTGATTTTGATTTATGGTTCTCATTAAATCTACTGCCATTTTGAAGCCTCCTCCATCTAACTTATTTTCCCTTTAAATTTAGAAGATTTAATCTTTTCCTTTCTATCATAATTCCAGCATGCTGGTTACTCTCTGTAATGTTGGACTCGCTTAGTTCATCTAGGCTGTTTCTTTAAGATGCTTATGTAATAGGTTGACCTATAGAAATTTTGTTTGCCATATTCAGCTTTTGAGTTAAATACTCTTTATATTGTCCTTATGAACACGTCTCTTCATTGTCCTTCTAATTCGTTTGTAATACTTGCACTGTCCTGTATTAGATAAAAACAGAGATCTTGCTTTGCTGGTCTCCTCGCTAGATGTTTCTGAGCAGTTGGAGCATTTCAGCACTTTTCCATTGTTCCTCGGCTCTGCTGGCTTTTTGCATTGGTAGAAAGGAAAACAGAACCTACCTTTGGCTTCAGGTTCTTTTCTTATGTGAGAGTTTGAGCGCATAGGAAATTTTAAACAAGCTTCTTTCAAAGCGTGAATAAAGTGCCTGTAGAAACTGTTGAGCCCTTTCTCCATGGTGGTCCCTCTGCACAGAAGTAAAAGCATTTACAAACGTGTTACAGATGTAACAACAAATCTCCTTTCTGTGTGATTTTGGAAGCTTTGCAGTCTTTGTGATTAAAAAAAACAAATTTTGCTACTCCTTGCATGACAATAAACAATGACACTACGGGGAAGTATGAAATCTTACCGTGTAACATAGCTACACGTGAGGCTTAGGCAAGAAGTAAAAAGATGGATTAATTTTCTTATTTCAAACTCTACTTTGTATAGCAAGGGTGACAACTGCCAAAATAATTATTGTCTTGCAAATTGCAATTTTTCTATAGAAATGAGGAAATGAAGGGGGATTCATACCACATTTTCCACAAATCTGAAAAAACACTAAGAACATAAAATTCATTGCATGAACTGTTACTCAAATTCCTTTGCTGACCTTGATTTTTACCTTTTCTGCTTCACATATTGTACTTCAAAGTTTATTTCAGTGTATTTCTTTCAGTTCATTTTAATTTTGCTTTTACGACTGATGCACATTAATATAAAAAAAATTGTTCTGAAAGTTGTTGTGTTGGTAAGGCATGTCTCCTACAGCCAGCCAAAGCTGTGTCTCCATTTACCTACACTAAGCCAGTGCTAAAATTGTAGTGGATTTTAGGCAGCTGTCATTCTAATCAGCACTTGTCAGTGAAGCTTGGGATTCACTTCAAACTGCTAACATGGATTAGAAATGTTAGCTGCCTTGTCTCCACTAGAGTTATATCCCTGGTTAATCAAAGTAGTCTTAAAGCAGCACATTCCGTTTCTGAGTCAGGCCTTCAAGCGTCCCATGTGATTTTTGGTCATTCGGTGCCGTGAGCGAGGTGGGTTCTCAGTAATGACATGGATAATGTGTGCATTGATATCGGCTTCTGCTCTGTGCTCTCATTTGCATGTTCTTTTAATTTGTCTTGCAAGGCTTTAATTTACTAAAAACAGAAACAGAAGTAGATGCAGGCAGTGCCACTTCCAGAAAAAATTTAGACAAAACAAGGAAGGGAGTGAAGACTGAAAGTTTCAAAATAACTTTACTAATTGCATCTTCTGTGTTTCCCTCTCTTAAAGCATGTCTCTTTTGAGTCAGCAACCTTTCCTTTCTTTGGTACTTACTTGCCTTAAGGGACAGGATGAGCAACGGGAAGGGCTTCTAACATCACTGCAGAATCAAGTTAATCAGGTAAAACAAGCACATAAGCCTGAGCGCCCTTTACTGGATATTGATGTGTCATCGGTTTTATGGGTACAGGATGGTGTGAAACCAGGAAAATTATAATGTGTCGTATGCCAAAAGAAACAGTCCAGGGAAGCAGGAGAAGGGAGGGATTTTGTTTGTCTGTGAGAGCAAATAAATCTTTATTTCTGAAATTGTTACAGAGAAATGTAATGAACCTGAGCCTGATTTCAGTTCTTTCCGGGAAGAACAGTAGTATGTGTTTGTCCTGAGAGTCTTTTCAGTCTCTAGCTTTGACATAAGAAATTTCTATAATTCTGAATTATTCTGAATAATTCAGAATATTGGGAAGCCCTTCTTTGTGAAGCCCTTCTTCTTCTCATGTAGGTACATATTAAAAATTTAGCATATTTAAAAAAAAAAAAAAAAAAAGGCGCTAGTCCCAGACTGATCCATTGCCCAGAAGAAACCACCTCTATAGCTTTTCTTTTGAATCCCTGATTTCCAAGCGTGCAAGCTCTGCTGATTCCAGCCTTCCTGCTCCCATCTGGTTCATGCTCTAGGCAACAGGAACGTTAACTCTTTGAGACTGACACTGACTTTAAAATGAATATATATGGTGCCCAGTGTAGTGGGAATCCTTTTCCTTTATTCTGCCTCTATTTCTGTAATTTATTCCCACAGTGAAAATTGATACTTGTAGGGCCATTATTTGTTTGTGTCGCCTCTCAGCTCAGATTCAGTTTCTGGCTTTGCTCCACATCCCAGTTAAATCCATTTCTTTGTTTCTTTACCTGGTGTTACTGCCACTTGGCCTCTCCGTTTCCTGTATGGGATTTCCTCTAAAATTCAGATAGTCCCAGCTTTTTAAGGCTCTGAACGTTACTCATCCAAAAGGGTCCAACAGGATCTTGTTGGGAAGTTGCATCTGATGCAAGAGATCCATTTGCTAGCCCTATGGTAAGCAATTAGGATGTTTCAAACAATATTTTTAATAAATTTATGAATAACTACTTATCTTGCTAGAACAGCAAGATCTGGACTCACGATTGATAGCGGAGTATGACGTTTGTTCTAGCTCTCTGTAAATTAAACTTTTACCCCATTTAGTTTAATCTACTTTAAGCATACATGAGGGTAAAAAGGTTGTTAGTCTTTTATGTTTCCTGATAATAATGGACACAAATATTTACACTTTAAAGGGAGAAAATCGTTTAAAGGGACAAAACCACCTTAATCGACTGCTTTTTCTTAGATCCTTAGCAATTGGAGAGAGGAGCGATACCAGGATGATGTTAAAGCTAGACAAATGATGCACGAAGCCTTACAACTTCGTCTTAATTTGGTAAGCAAAACTTGCGTGATTGTCTTGTTGGTACATACAAAGGTAGCAGCTGGTCTCGGGAGTACGTGGCAAGATGCAAGAAGCATCGTGTCAAGGCGGAGTGAGGGCCGGCTGCTCCCCAGGGGATGGGTGCCACAGGGCTCCCTGGGGCAGCAGGGCACCAGCTATGGGTAGCATCAGTCTGTGACCGATTTGTTCCTTTTTTTTATGCGGCCACCTTCTTTTCAGCATGTCTGGAACGTCACATACGTATCATCTTTTTGTGGACATTGTCCACTGACAGGCTAGTTTATCCTCCCAGGATATGACAGATGAGGATTTTATGGAATTAGGCAGATAATATAGTTGAGACTTTCAGAGCTCTCAGGAAGATTTGACAATTTAACTCCATCTGTCTGATTTCAGTTGCATCTATTTGGATACATGTATGAATCAACTTTAGTTTCCATCGAGTTCTCCAGTGTTGCACATCTCATGACACTTTTGTACCAGACAGCAGCACCGCTGTTACTTTTCTTGCACAGTGCAATAGGTGTGTGGAGACTTACTGTGTCTAAAGCGAAAGGAGGAGGTTCCAAGATACCAGTAACACGGCAGCATTGGTCTCCTGCCATCTCTCTGGAAGTTGCTTAGATGTGGCTGTGCAACCCAAGGGGGTAGCCACAGCCTTACTCTACTGTTGGTCCAAGTCAGGGGAACTTGAGCCAGCTGTCCCCCATTGTGTGCCTGCTGTGCTGGTGAAATCTGCTGTGAGGCAAGAGTTATTAGTTAGTTCTCAGTGCTGAGGTCACCACAGCATTTGCACTAAAGCAGCTGTCACCTGCCCACTGAGTACCGTGAAGGCATGTCCTTCAGCATGGGTTGGGAAAATTCCTATTATGGGCAATGTTTGGTTTAAGACGGAAGCAACTAGATTTTATCTCTTTGCGAACAATAAACCATGTATATAGTTCAGGAATAATCTTTTATATAAGCTCAGCAAGGTTTAGGAGCTAAAATTGGATATTGAGATGTGAAACAGTCATTGTATTTATTAAGAAAGACCCAAACCTGAATTAAGCATTAAGTATGGGGAAGAATTGTGAAGGGGAACAATTGCAAGCACAAACAATGAAGGATTCAAACTGATAACAAACATGACAAAATAAAAAGATCTATTTTTGGAAAGAATGAAACTGGGATACATCAAGCAAAATGATTTGAAGCGGTTATTGGGTGCAGAGGTAATCTGCAAAGCAAAGCAGCAGACAGTAACATCATAGAACAGGGAGAGCCTGAGACGCAGTACGCCAGCAGGAACAGAGCAGTGTAATTTTGACCCAAGTTCCCCGTGGCATCCTCTTGTGAGGTAAGGAGACATTTTCCCTTTACCGGGTTGTCGCTGTCTGAAGGCTTGAGCTGTGCTTTCATTAGGTAGGAGAAGAGTTGTACCTTTGAAATTTGGGGGTTGGGCTCTATTCTGGTCAGTTTGGAAATCGGGCTCACAACCTGAGCAAGTATCTTGTGGTGTTCCAATCTGGTGGCTTATCAACTTTGAAAGACTAGTTTTGATGAAACTGTTCCTTCTCAAAATACAGGTGTATTTTACAGTATCATGCTATACTAGAGATAGTGAAATAGTAAAAATTTGTTCATGGGGAAAATATATCATTCAGCAGTTCTCACTTTTACTGAACAGTATCTTGTTCTTCAGATCTTTTTCTCTTTGCACTGGATATTATTGTCTAATTTTTGGGTGTGGAAGAGAGCAGGAACTGTAAAGTTTAGACTGAACACCTTTTCAGTTCTGAGCATCTTTTCGAAGACTCCAAAATTTGTTCCGTCAAACACTAAAGTGAAGATATGAAACCATTTGAAAGAGTAGTTTAATATCATTCTGCTGTTATATAGCTCCTTCCTAGGAGCAACTCTGCTGGGAGCATGGGGTGGGGAGGAAAAGTTATTTAAGGACAGTGCATCAAGACGGCAGTCAGCACACAGGAACCCTTGGGACTGGGCAGCAGCTTTGTTCATAAGTAGCGCGTACTAAAAAGGAAGCATGCGTCTCTGAGATATCCGCAGAACTTTGCTGTCTGTTGTATTTTGCAGGTAGGTGGGATGTTTGATACAGTGCAGAGAAGTACCCAGTGGACCACAGACTGGGCACTTCTGCTCCTTCAGATAATTACTTCAGGAACTGTTGATATGCAGACCAACAAGTATGTCTGCGCTATTTAAACAAGCTAATTAATGCCTTTAGTGCTTTTAATTTTAGGTAGCATGTATGTTCTTGCTACTTCCCCTTCCCTCCTATTATCCTATTGCTCGAGTGCAACTTCCATGCGTAGTACTGGTCTCACTTTGGGAGCTCCTCTGTTTTTGAAAACATTAGCGACGCTGTTTGTGCGTTTCCTTAACGAGCATGTACCTGAGCGCTTTCCTAAATGGAGCCCATAGTTTCTAATGGCTGTTCGTTAGCTGTTTGTGTTGTCTGCAAGTTGCAGCTGTGGCATATAATGAGATTTGTGTGCATGCCTGACGGTCCACCTGCACGTATGCACGCACTGGGGCTTAGGCATGCAAGCTGAAGCGTATGTGCATGCAGACCACCTTGACAAATCTGGTTGGTCTGAACAGTTGCGTTTATGGCCTTTGCCATGAACGTCTGCTGGATCTCTTGGCAACTGGTGGTTCCTCAAGGTAATGCTTCTCTTTTTACTCTCAGTGAACTATTCACAACAGTGCTTGATATGCTGGGTGTCCTGATCAATGGGACGCTAGCCTCGGACTTATCAAACGCTTCCCAAGGAGGGCCTGAAGAAAACAAAAGAGCTTACATGAATTTAGTGAAAAAATTAAAAGTAAGTGTTATGGCTGATTGCATTCAGCATTTTTTTTTGAATCACATTTTGTGATCATCTTTCAATCCTGTCATTTTTGGTGTCTAGGAAGGCCTCTAGGAATGGTAGGCAGTGCTAGTGATAACAAGGAGGAAGAGAAGATAATAAGAAATAGGAATGCAAGAGTGGGAAGACAAGAGTTTTAATATTTTCTTCTATTTAAATTACAATTAGAGACCCTGAAAGACAATAACTTTTATTTGTGTTTGAGAGGTTAACTTTGCATTCACCTCGTATTACGTATTTTATGTTCTGTGCAAAAGAGATGAAGAGATGAGTTACATTTATTTAAAAAAAAAAAAAAAAGAAAAAGAAACCTTGCAACAAATACTTGATTAAATTTAGTAAAAGTACAGGGAAATGGTTCATCCAGAAACGGGATGTTTTCTAATAGTGAAAGCAGTACGAAGTCTCTCTTCCTTTTTCTTTTTTTCTTTAGAAAGAGCTGGGAGACAAGCGTTCAGAAAGCATTGACAAGGTTCGCCAGCTGCTCCCTCTGCCAAAGCAGACGTGTGACATTATTACTTGTGAGCCAATGGGATCCTTGATCGACACCAAGGGGAACAAAATTGCAGGATTCGACTCCATTGATAAGAAACAGGCAAGAGTAAATGTTTACTTGTATCTTAACCTTTTCATGATTTTTTTGCTGTATAGGAAAGTCAAGCAGACAGGTGCAGCTTGTACAGCGCGTGCATTTATATCTGGTATCGTAAAAGTCTTGTACTTCTGCTGTCGTGCACCTTTCTAAGGCTCAGCTGTACAAAAAGTTCAGCTGCGGCAGTGCAGCTTTTAAGCAGCTAGGTTTTCTGTGAGCAAGGATTCTGAAAGCGAGGAATCCTGGGCTTGCAGAATAATGCCTTTAAAATTAGTTCCAGATGACTGACCTTTTTTTTTGGTATCAAACATATTTTTATTCCAAAGACACATGCATGTTTTTTGTTTGCATGCTCCGTGTGCAAACTCTCTGGCAGAGTGTGAAAGCAGGAGTGGGTTTAGAGAGGGGCTCAGGGAGCTGCTAAACCCCAGGCGAGTGAGTGAGAACTGCCCAGTGCGACTCGGGCCACGTGCCACCGTCGCCGTCCCTGCGTCAGTGTTGCCAAGAAACGTCCTGTCCTTTCCATAAGGATTCACTGGCACTTGCAGATATTCTCAGAACTTTAGATACATGTATCTTTAGTAGAAGCAATTTTATGCCACCCATACAAATTCAGTAGTTTTGATAACCTTGCACTTTCTGATTTGTTTAAAATTGAGGCACCAGAATCTCCACTAACGAGACCTGCATAGAGCTTGTTGCGAGTCCTTCGCAGTTAAATACACAGAACGCGTGGTCGACTCTTAACTGCTAATGTAGCAAGTGTTGATATCGGCTTGCTCTGTTTTGTAGTCTAAGGTTTTGGCTGATATTGGCCAACTCCACGCAAGGTGCCAAAGAAACACATCGTGTTTGACTTGCAGTGGAATCACAGAAGCTTTTCCAAAAGCATTCGTGTTTACAACAGAATCCGACACTTGAGAGCTTGTTCAACTTGGGAACAATCTGAACTCTGACTTGCTGGGAGTAAGATGGGAAAATGATTCTGCTTACAAAAGACAGAGGAAAGGGGGGGGGGGATGGAGTTTTAACTGCTGTGTGTTTTTTGGCAATATGAAGGGACGTGTAATTTTTTTAAGGTGAGTTTATTTAAGAAAGAAGGAAAGAAGCTCTTATTTTGCAGCCTAGCTAAGCATTTTTTTGCAAGACAGTGCTGACGGTTATCTGCCCTTATTTGAATACGTAAACCTTTAGCAAATATGTGTTCTGATTAACAATTTTTGATAGATTATTTGATTTCTCCTCCAAAATGCGATAGATGGAACTTGAAGATCTTAGCATGACTACAAAAATATGGCCGCTTTCATCTAGCGGCACCCTTGGATGGAAGTCAAAATCCCCCCTGCATGCATTTGGTACAACTTGCTGTAGGGGAAAAAAAAAAAATCCTTACTGGGTTTTCTGACTTGAATCATGACGCACAAAACTCACTCTCTCTATAGTTCCACGTTCTTAAAATGTTAACTTTACTTTTATTTTGAATTAGGGTCTCCAGGTTTCGACAAAACAAAAGGTGTCCCCTTGGGATTTATTTGAAGGTCATAAAAATCCTGCTCCTCTCTCCTGGGCCTGGTTTGGTACCGTTCGTGTTGATAGGAAAGTGATAAAATACGAGGAGCAGCAGCATCTCCTCCTGTACCACATGCACCCAAAACCCAAGCCACGGAGTTACTACCTCGAGCCCTTGCCCCTTCCTCCAGAGGAGGAGGAGGAAGAGCCTACCACACCTGTCTCTCAGGAACCAGAACGGAAGTCAGCAGAGCTCTCGGATCAGGGAAAACACACCACAGATGATGAGAAGAAAACAAAAGGCAGGAAGAGAAAGTCAAAGTCAAGCTCAAGGGCTGACGTAAGTGATTGATGCATAGCGTTAAACTTGATATATCTTGCTGGAGCCTCTGCTGCTGCCCATCTCAGCTACCCCTGGAAATTGTCCTGCATCTGGCAGCAGCTGGGCTTAATGAGGGGAGTGAGCGGAGAAGGTCAGGGGAAAGATAGATTTTTGTCAAATAAAGCTCCTGAGAGAATTAGCGTATAGGAGCGTACTGTGCTGAGGACTTGAAACGCCATATAAGACGTGCTACGCTAGCTCTTACTCCCGAAATGCTGTGCATGTTCCATCTGTGCTGCTTATTGTTTCTCATGTTTGGTGCAGAAGCAAGCAGTTAGATTTTTTTTTAATATCAATTTCTAGCCGCCTTCTGATTCCAGTTGTCTTGAGAGCAACCCTGTGGGTTCAAACCCAGGCCCTATTCACGTGGAATCAGTCTGAAACAGGCACTTTCCCAGAGGTCCCCGTCGCACTGTGCGGCCGCTTTACCGCAGGCTCTGCTGGTTGTGACGGTTCTAAGCAGAAGATTGTTGTAAACGTGGCGCAAGATAACGGTGTGAAAAACCTACCTGGCGCCGCACACGTAGTAACGCGCGTTTACGGCAGCGGCCTTCTGTGGCGTCGTTACTGCCTCTTCCCGCTGGCACCAGTGTAGGCTTACGCGCTGTAGGTGCAGTCGTGTTTTGTCAGCGTCCAGCTGGTTTGTGAACGTGTTGCATAAAGAGGCGTTTTAAAAAGTTACAGCATTAACATAGTTTTTTGGACTTTCTTGATGTTTCGGTTAAACTCTTCCTGTTGTTATGTACTGATACAGTAAGCTGTACTTGCGCCACACCTAATTGTAGCCCGTAGAAAACACTTGCTAATAAGGTGAAAAGGGATGGGGTGTCTGTGAAGCTGTTAGTGTTCGTTACCTGTGGGCAGCCTGAGACTTCGTCTGTTTTTAACGTCGTTACAAACGACAATAGGAACTGTCTCTATCCTTTAATAATTTAGTAGGAAAATTGGCATTATTTATGAGTCAGCAAGGTATGAACGTCAGTAAGATTCACTTTTACTGTGTATTTTAAGGAATACCCCCAGACCGCTTTATACAGAGTGCCTCCCAGTTATTCACCGATTTCCTCGCACGGGATGCCCCATGCCCCGGCTGCCCTGTGGGGCTACGGCGTCGTGGGGCAGGCGCAGGCGCAGCAGCCCGGCTTCTTTGGGCCCAGCCAGCCCCTCCCGCCCGGTACGTGGGGCTCCGGGCCGCGGGCTTTACTGCTTCAGGTGCGAGAAAAATGGGCTTACGAGAGCCGTGTTTTTAGCTCCGCTTTTTCCAAAGCGGGTTGGGACCGCTACTGCGGTTTGTTTTACTCCTTTAGTTAAGGCTTTCTGTTATCAGTTTTAATTAAGTCTCCACTAAGCTATTAAACTTCTTTGGTGGATAAGCACAAATGACCTGCTGCTGTCTGATGTGGTGATTGCACAGTACTGGAAGGACTTTGAGGAGTTAAATAACAGAGGGGTGGTTAAAAGAAATGAACTTTGGGGTTATTTCTTCTTTGATTCATATCAAGAACTGAGATGGCTATGATTAAAGTTCATGTCTATTAACGTCGTTCCAGCATGTTAGAGCCACACATGCTTACTCTTTGTAGGCTTGTTTACTACTTCCACTTTGTGCTTATACAGTTTAGCATATGTATTTTGCTTGCTGTGACGGCAGCAATTTTTGATGTTTTGAGAAACAGCTATTATAGCATTATGAGAAATTACACAGGAGAAGTTTTGAAGTTTGGTTACAGTTATAAACGTTAAATATTTATTCTGAAGCTCCAAATGTAACTAGATCTGAATTTTAGGTGCATAAAAGTCTTCCGAAAACACCAGACAGTGACTGCCAAGTCAGTGAGCTGCTGATTAGAAATGTGTGTATGTATGTGTATGTATAGGTAAATAAAATGTACTTTCATTAGTATGTTGAGATAAATACACATACATACACACACATGATTTTTTTTCTGGTAGGATGGAGTGCATAACTTCTTACTATATCATGAACAAATGGGCTTTACATAATAAACTGTTGATGACAGGCTTTTGATCTGATGTGGAACTCTTGTTTTTCAGTAGTAGTCAAACATTTTATGTGATATACAGCATGTGGCAGCCCGTAGTTTTTTTTACTTGTACTCTCAATCACAAGTGGGAGTCTTCAAAGCTATCTTGTCCATTTAATTTTTCAGGCCAGGCATCTGGTTTGACCCAGTTCATTGTCTGCCTTTACAGAGACGAACTTATCCTCGTTATCCTAGTGCAAATCACATAGCTGATGAGTTAGCAGTGATCTGTACCAACAACTTTCCTGTGAAGGCAGAGAAAGCGTTTGTGCGTTTGGTGGTTTTTTTAGGTGGTTCCAGGTTGGATCCGACAGGCTCCTTTGTTCCAACTAACACAAAGCAAGCCCTGTCGAACATGCTTCAGCGCCGCTCTGGCACCGTGATGCAGCCGCCCTCCATCCATGCCATCACGTCTCAGCAGCAGTTGCTCCAGATGAAGCTCCTGCAGCAAGAGCAGCAGCAGCAGCAGCGACTGC